TTCTTGTGATGAATGAAACCGCCGGTAATATTTTAACAAAGACGTTTATTTTGTTTCTTAATGATACACTAAAATACTTGATTTATTTGCAGATAGGTTACACCGTCCTTGTGTTCTTCACTTAGTTATTTTCCTTACACAACTTACACTTCAGTTCACTTGATTATTTATTTACACTGTTCACTTCTCCTACACTATCGCTCTGTCCGATGCACCTACCACTGCCCGCTGCACTGACCACATTTCACTGCTCTGGTCACAATTCTCTGCGCTGGCTACAGTTCACGACGCTGATCACGGCCCTCTGCTCTGCTGCTCAACTACTGTTCATCACTGTTCATCACTGTTCATCACTGTTCATCACTGTTCATCACTGTTCATCACTGTTCATCACTGTTCCCCGCAATGCACACTTCTCAACTCAGCTTCCACTTCAGACTTCAGACATTCAGCTTCCCCTTGAGACTTGAGACTGACTGCGGTCGCGTAGATCCTTTAGATTATAACGTCGTGATGAAATTTGACGACAATATATCACAACATACATTCATTTATTTACAATTTCTATACAAGGATATTATGGTTTGAAGCCTAATGCGAATGTACCTGGTGTTGTCGCATTTGCCTTCTACGACTGTAGTTAGTGTTGTCGCATTTGCCCAGTGCGAATGTACCTGTGGTTGTCGCATTTGCCTTGTGCGAATATCCTGGTGTTTTGTTGCATGCGCCCCCTTAACCCATGGCTGCGAGGCAGGCACGTCGACGGTAGGCCTGGGCCCGTTTATGGGCTGTGGCGCCTAGTACACTTGTACTAGGCCTAGTGCATACTTACTTAATCTTAAGAGAGCGAGTTCGTTACCGCGTGTATTTTTCTCTTGGTGCTAGCGTGCAGATTCTCTGCATCACGCCCAGCGGGTGCTCTGACCGAGACACTGCACACGAGGCGCATTTGGACCTCACCCATGCGTTCCCACAACACTCGCCCCTACACTCGCTCGGCGACTGCAGAAATGGCTCAATAATTAATTACCTTTCAAGATTATTATAAGTATTTAATTATTGTAATTATTATTAGTATTTAATTTTTGTAAAATTTGTTTATAAACAATAATTAGAAAAAGAATGAAATCACAAATTCTAATACGAAGTAAAATAATTCAACGACAAACAAAACGTGCCTCAAACCATATCTTTGCAAAGCCACGCTCTAATTCTACACGAGGCTACGCTCTTAGCTCCGTGTCTGCCCAATGTCGTGCACCTGACAAACGTCGCCACCATTTGTTGTACTTTCGTTGGTTCAGACACATACCATTCCCGAAGCAAGAGGAGTGTTGAGTAACCTTCCCGAACGCCATGCTTGGACAACGCTGGCTCTCGCGCACATTCTGCACTAACGAGCCGTCCTTCTACCCGCGAGAGAGCTAAAAATGCAAGTAGTGGGGGGAAGTATGCTTTGCGGGGAGGAGGGAAGACTGACGTTGCACGTCGCGGCGCATAGATTGAATACCGGGGCGTCTAATGCTGTGAAATCATTTTCCTACTTATTTAAATGGGTGGTATCCCGTGTTTCGAGATACGAGAGACATAATTCTCTGTTTACGTTCCTCTGCGCACTACCGTGTATCCACGAATGTGTGTACTTTCCTTTTTTTAATTTCTTGAATTGATGCTCCTTGTTTATCTCATGCAATATTTTAAAGCAGTGGCCTTATTTGAAACTTTATTATTTAATTCTAACTAACAAAAAATACGAATTAATAATTGTTTGTTCACCAGGAATGTTATTATCTCCAAATGACAGTAAACTGAAGAAATAAATGAGAGCGGACTCTCATACGATGCCGTAGACGATGAATTAGAGTGTTCGTTGATATATATATATATATATATATATATATATATATATATATATATATATATATATATATATACTCTAGCTAGAAATTAGAGCATAAAATAATCATGCTGTTTTTGAAGAAGAATATATTTTAGCTTTGAGAGAAACGTCTTATTCAATTAAAGACAGATAATGAAATACATAGTTTACTGTTGTAATTGTTAAATAAAAGCAATTCAGTATCATAACTTTGTCTTTAGCTAAATACTGCTACGTTGTAATCAAATTTTAAAATGTATAATTCGTTTTTGTTTCGTGTTTCTCACGGTCATATCAACAAAAAACATGTCTAATGTGATACAAATGGCAATATTTCTTGAACTGTGTGTGTCCGTTACGTTCTCGCCGATTGCTCTTTCAATTTTAGCGCTATGCTTCGAATTGGGCATTCTAATTGGTGGTCCCCATTCCTAGAATGAATCTCATTCCCACCCTTCATCGATTTTTGGATTTTCGCCCCAGTTGCTGGTGCGGGGCTCCTGAGGTCAGCAAAAGTGCAAAATGCTTTGCAGACCAGGCGTAGGGGTTCCCGTCCTGCTTTCCGATTCCGGCCTGTTGTCAACCCCGGTGAGGTAACTCCATCTTTCAACTTTCTTTACGTTCCAGTGCCATTGTGAAGCAACCTTAAGGGCCTCCTGTGCGTGGCGACTGGAGAATACGATGGTTCTCTTCACTAGGACTCTCCCTCAACAGAGCGAAACCCTCCGCGGAAGGCACTGGAAGATCCCTTAGGCGTTGATAGATGGTAGTTGGAAAGGGGGTTGGGACAAAAATGAAAATGTATCTCCAACTCAAGATAAAAGGGAATTTTCTAGGACGAGTTATAATATACTACATAGTGTAACGTATTAGCCAGCGTGCCTCGTGGCATCTATTTGGGGACGCTTGGCAGGATTAGCCTTGCCACAGGAAGAAGGGTTTGTCCGTAAAAGGGAAGAACGCGGAAACGGGAGACACAAGGCTTTGGGAGTTTCCGGCTTATAGAAGCTTTTCACTGTTATAACAAGCGAGGGAGTGGCGTGACGTAGTAGGTCACGTGGGCCTCGCCTATATAACTGAGTGTACAGAGCCAGTAGGTGGGTTCTGGAGACAGCGGGAGAACCTCGTGCGTGTGCACAAAACTTGGCGCCAAGACGGTGCATATGCGAGCCAGGCTCGCGAGGCTGGAGTCATTAGTTGACGAAGCCTGCGGACTTTATGTCCTTGGGTGACTGCGGTCACGGGGGAGCGATGCTGTGTGCGTGCTCCGAGGTGAAGAGTGGTTGAGTGCCACGATTCACACCGATTCTCAATCGGATAAGATCGCTCCTGCGATCGAGGCAAACCAGCCGTTGGTGCGCCAGAACGGACTTTGTGTACCAGCGTGACATCCGGTCACGGAAGCTAGGCTTTGTGCGCGCTTCAAAAGTAGGAGTGGCGAATGCCACAATCAAAATCATCTTCAATCGGGTTTGGATCGCTCCCGCGATCAGGGGATAGTAGGTCTATCAGAGCTAGGGTGTAAGTAGATTATTAAGTGTATATATTTGTTTTGTTTTCTTTGTTAATAAATATATTGTTATACGAAAGCTCTGTGTCTGTGGTCGCTGTGAGTATCCATGACGTCACAATAGAATGGCTGAAGCGCGTCCATCTTCGTAGCAAATTGAAGCCATGTTTTTTTAAGCGTCCTCTGGAAAAATAATGTTCTAGTAATTCATTTGACGCTAGTTAAGGCCGGTTTGGCGCGTACCGCGAGTAATATAAATCCTCTTACTCAGTTATTCAGGACCAAAAAATAAACCATTTAAATCACAATATGTAAGGAGAACGAATTGAGAAACTTTAAAAACACGTTCCTTCCTGCATCCGTTATTGTCATTAGAATCGAAGCTGTTGAAATATTATTTTTGTTCGAGTATCGCCTGAAAGTGAATGTTCTTGCAATAAGATGCAAATAATCATATCACAAATAAGGTGCCACACGTGAAAAATGATCTATTTGTGGTTTGATGACTTCTTTTTTTTTTACAGTTATATGCCGAACATACTATATGCATTTTGAATATAATTATTCTAACCACTAAGATAATTTAAGTACAAATAAATGAAATGTCAACATCATAGAAATATGATCTAATACAAACAACACGTGGATTCAGTATTACAGTTCTACGCGCCATTATCAGTCACCTCTCATGTTTTTACTGAAAAAAATGGCGGCCCCTAGTTTGGCGAGCCACCAAGAGCGCTGAAGTCATAGGATCAGCAAGTCTATGTAGTATATTCTAGTTTGTTGTTCTGTGGCGAGAAAGTTTGTGTCATTTTATAGCCTCACAATAATGGTTCCTTGAAGACATTTGTTCTTGAAAATTGTTTGCAATTTTTTAAAATATGAGTTGTACCTCTTTAAATTTATTTTTAACTCGTCGGGAAACTTGTTATGCATTCTGAGTCATTTGGTATAATAAACTAAACGTGATTGCTAGAACCTAAGTATTTTAGTACGAATCTCAGCGTGGAAAAATATTTTGGGGGTTGGAAACTTATTTGTGGGTACATTCAGTGCGAGAAAGTACGTGTTGTTGTAGAAACCACTAAATGACACAAAAATTATTTTGCAAATAATAATATTGTTATTTCTGCAGATGCCAACAAATACAAAAACTAGTTTACCAATCTTGAAAACTGCGTGTTTCTCACAGTGTGCACGAACAAAATAACAATTGCAGTATACCAGACCCATTGTACTGTAACAAGGGAACTTGTTGTAGTATAATAAGAAAACTCAGTGTTATAGCACTATAATACTGAGTTTTCTTCTTATACAAGGTACAAAACAGTATGTCCCCTCCAGGATGGAATAGTATGTCATTATTTTTATTGCATTCCATTTCTACACTTGCGACGCAATCCGAAATCATGAATTATCCTTTTTTTATCTTCACTTGTGATAAGGATTGAAGACCTTCCCTCCTCAAAAAAAATAAACAACATTCCAAGCATGTATATTTTATTTTCAAATATTTGACACACACTACACCGGTAAAATACTACGAATACATATGTATTACTGATCATGAAATCAATAGTAAGACAATAATTTGATAACATTTTGATTCCATGTGCTGGGGTGCTGTCAAAAACCACTTCAAATATGTTATATTGGCTACAATATAAATCGTCTAACCGATGGAACTAAAGAATTCTTATAAAAAGTACGACAAGCACATTCAAGTTTGCAGTAGGAAAGAAGGGGAGAGAATGAAATCTAAGAAAAGGTACTACATGGTAGAATTTTATAACCAAGCATTTTATAACCAAGCATTTTATAACCAAGCGCGACCGGGTAGGGGAGAATCCACCTTTCTTAGTATTGCCAGAGTTGTATAATTTGTTAATGATAGATAATGAAAAAGAATGCGACTTGTTGAATTTTTGAGGACACCCAAGGCTTATGGGAGTTATTTCGAAGAAGCTATAATGATTATATAGAACATGGATGCGATGCGAATGCGCATTATGTCAATTACCAACACTAATCACAGATTCGTGACTCTGGCGATACCTTATAACAAGCACACACGTTTTAGGCATATAAAAGCGAATATAGTTTCTAAGGTGCAGGCACACAATGGTGAAGTCTCTCTTGGCTGCTCAACACTCCTCAGGCCCAATCACACGCAGTAAAAGCAGAAAGGGAGATGATGGTTATATTGCATAGAATTCGACGCTCCCTCCGTTGCTGACCCCTAAAAGTCTTTCAAAGATCTGTAGTTTCTGTTTTGCTGACGGGAGAAAGATTGAGGTAGTCGTGGACAGAAGGAAAGAGATCGTGTAAGCCTACACGTTTGTCGTTGAAAGTGGAGAGGCGAACAATGCGAGGCTGCTGTTCAGCCTGTCAATGAGGGCTGCCGCCTCGTCGAACATGGTGGAGACGTTAGAGCCCAGATGTATCAAATTAGTGTGCATTCGACCCAAGGCTTCCGCAACCTCATTTGCAATCTCATTTGCAACTTGGGGTGATACACTCTGCGATCCCGTCTTCATTAGCTAAGAGCAAAAAACCAATATGAGTGAATAAAAACAATATTTTAACAGATTGTTACGAAACTCAACGCAAAAATTGCAGGAGAGGTTTCTCCACTACGTTAGAAAGGAAGTTTATTGTACGCAATTCCAAACCGTAGTCATAACACTGTTTGTTATTGCATCATTTTTTGTTTTCCCTTTTACGTACGTATATACGGAGTACAAACTGTAGTATAGAGAAAGTTATATAATGCTACGGAAAATCGATTTCGAGATGTCAACGGAAATACACGTTTTGGAGTCCCCCGACACCGAAAACGTGTTTTTGTTTGCAAAACATCCGTCCGTCATTTTGTTTGTCTATCGCTCTGTATGTCCTTCTGTCTGTCCGTCCGTCCACCCGTCCGTCCGACTGTTGTCTATGATCACCACTAGCGCCTAAACGATATGTAAGGTTTTTTCCAAAATGAATATTTCCTGGTTGATCTGGGTCGACTGGAAGCTCTGCGATTCTGAAAAACATTCTTTAAAATTTGGGGATACTTTTCATGAAGCCCTGGGATATGGTCAAAATTCTCAAAAATGGCTCCAATTTTTTTTTTAACATTTTTTAAAGAATAAAGTAAAATACACTTATAAAGATGACATAACATTTTCCAATATTAACTCCGTATATTCGGAAATGTGGAAAAAATTGAATTTTCCCCCGCTTATTCCTACCATTATAGAATTGAAAAAGGAGATTTTCCTCTCAAATACATTTTTTCTCCATAGATAGTCCTTTCATGAAGGTCATGTATATTTTTATGACGATTTTAGTAGTTTTTAGGCAATATTGCATGCAATATGTTAGAGATATTAAAAAATTACAAAAACTAGAAACGCTTCCACATTTTTTCTTTAAAATTTTATCAGAGTTAGAAAGAAATAATCTCTACAAAATGGCATACACGACATTATGCTCTATTATTTCCTTGTTTCTAAAATTACACAATTGCATTTTTCCACCTCTCTCTCACGTACTTAATATTTACATTAGCGGTGATTTGTTCACATTATTGCATTTATGTATATATGCTTCAAAAGATGTCTGATAAAGTTCCTCGAAAATGAGCTCAAAATTCAGCATTTTCTGAAATGTCTAAATGCAATTTTCTCAAAAACAGCTCCAAATTTTTCTTCAAACTTTTTGTACGGATAGTGCTGAATGCATTGTTTAATATGACATCAAATTCGTTTGGAGCAATCGTTTGTTTATTAAAAAATTACACAAATTGTGACCCCAAGCACATTTTACCTTAGCTGTCGGCTAGTACAGATGGCGGTGGTTCACCTGCAGTTGAGTGAGGTGGATGGACGTTGTTGTTTAAGAATGAAAGAAGTTTTGGAATGAGATAAACTTTAAAGTTTAATTACTCAACAAGCATGGCAAGAAGTGAGTTTCTGCCTTAGCTCAGTTTCTCCCAAAACAAAAATTATTCTAGTTATAATCTGACACGCAGGAAAACCTTAAGGCTGCACATACCGAAAATTAGTTTGCCACATGAACTTCATTCTAGCCAATGCGCGGCTGAAAAACTTTGCCTGAATTACACGAAAAATATCCGAGCAAGAGTCCAATTTTCTATATTGTCTGAAGGTCCTAACTGGAGCCATTACCAGGCTCTGCGATGACACAACCCGTGTTTGTATTTACTAGGCTGTCCAGATGACGCCGCGACCATGGCGAAGGTGCCGACGTTTCGCTCGCCATTGTGTGATCTTTCTCAGAGCTAGAGGAAGGTCGCAGAATGGCGACCGAAACCGAACCGAAGCGATTGGCACCTTCGCCATGGACGAGGCGTCACCCGGACAGCCTAGTAAATACTGACTCCGGCCGGGGAAGCCTACGCTCTCACAACCCGAGTTGTTGTGGACTTCATTCCAGCTATTTCGTTCTTTGCGGATCGATCGTCTGAAAAGGCGGGCATCGGCCACGACTTCTCTGGGGCTGGAGAGGAAGTTCTAGCAGCATGTGGCGGGAGGCCGGCGGGCTGACTCGCGACCCACACCTCAGTTCGCCGCAGTCGCGTCCACAAATAACTACCTCAGCTCTAACTTTCAGATGCGATGCAGCAGGCGCTCATAAATCAGTTCATTTTGGTAAAGGTGAAAAATTTTCCTAATCCTTGTCGGAACCTTACGGGATTGTGAAGTTCCGGAAGTCGTGTAGCGTAATTTTGAAAATGCAATAAGTGTCCTTCAAATTTTAAAATTATGCAAGCAAATGTGAGTGAAACTTTACCACACATGTTTCTAAAGGGCGGTTCAAGAAACAGTAAAGTTTAAAACGCGCATCACAGCGTTCTGAAATTCCCAGTTCCCAGCGGTTTAACAAGAATTCTTAAAATAATATTTCGGTTCTACGATTAGAACACCGAAAGATGAAGGAGGCGTTCTTTCGGCTGTGATAGATGGAAACTGATAAAACTGATAAATGTGGCAAGACCAACCCAGTGGTGCTAGAAAATGGCACAGACTTCCCCGTAACAGTTTTGTATTTCCTTTGGTCTCAGCTAGCTCTACGACCTTGCAACATACTCTTATCAGCTCCCATCAATTGCCGCCCGAAGTAAATTTTTTGACATTTTCTTAATTTTTCGGTTTCCTAAATACAGAACGGAAATATTATTTTAAGATTACTAAAGGATATTTTAAGTTCGTTCTTAATGGCAATTTTCTTTGACAAATTTGGAGCCGTTTTGAAAAACGTGGCGTTTAAGCGCATCTGTAAATTCGAAATTTCAAGCTCTTTGTGACAGACAATTTTTGAGTTTTCGAAAAACTTAATTTGAAGTCATTTTAATTACATTAAATCACATATAACAGTGTTTACAAATTGCTGGAAATGTGCTTATCAATGGCTTGTGAGATCTTTCTGAAAATTTACATTTTTGTAGTTTTTGATAAATAAAAACACACAAAAAATTAATTTTACGTCATATTAATGAGTACAATTAACCTATCAGTTCAAAATGATTAAAGAAAAATTTGGAACCGTATTTGAGAACCTCTTTTTGTAATTTTTTATATTCCACATATTGTACGCAATATTGCGCGAAAATTACTAAAATTTTCAAAAAATATCTATGACTTCAATAAAAGAACTCACTATGGAAAACAAATTGTATTTGAAGGAAAATCTCTATCTTCAATTTTGTATATAGGAAGGCGCGAAATTTTAGAATTTTCGAAAATTTAGTGTTTTCGGACCTATGCTATATTTATGTGTATTTTACTCTATTCTTACAAGATATATAAAAAATAATTTGGAACCCCTTTTGAGAAAATTTTGAAAACGTCCGGGGGTTTTTCCCCCAAATTTTTAAGGGTTTTTTTTTTCAAAATCTCGAAGATTGGACTTGAGCCAGATCGACATGGCTTTCTTCGATTTGGAAAAAATCTTACGCATGGTTTAGGTGCTTGTTGTGTTCACATACACCAGTCAGACGGACGGAAACGGACGGTTTGATTAAAACATTTATTTCAGTTGATATCTCAAATTCAATTTTCCGCAACATTACATAAAGTTCCGTATACTACGTATATGACTCCGTATATACGTACGAATAAGGGAAAGTAAAAATGGATAATACTCGTACTCGTATGAATGAAACAGGAAAAGACATACTTTAAATACAACACCACAAAATATTCAGAACCGTTCACCCCTGAGACACAAATTAGTCAAGTCAAAAGGTTTTTGACAGAAACCTAAACGGAAGACCAGACCCACCAGGACAGAAGAGGGAAAAGAGAAACAGAAGAAAGGGAATGAAAGAATTTTGGAGGAAAAATAAATTGGAAGGAAGGAAGGAAGCAAGAACTAGTGAAAATAAACATTGTATACAGTGGCGTATTCGAATAATAATAATAATAATAATAATAATAATAATAATAATAATGATGATAATTATAATAATAATAATAATAATAATAATAAGAAGAAGAAGAAGAAGAAGAAGAAGAAGAAGAAGAAGTAGAAGAAGAAGAAGGTGTGTCTCTTTGTTTGTGTGTGTGTGTCTATTTCATTGTAATCATTTCACCTCGTCCCCCAGAGCTTACAACCTTGGGGTGTAAAAATGGAATCAGCATTGAATGGTGATCCCCCCAACAGTGAAGTAAGTACTCGTACACCTCCCCCATAATAATGACTGAGCCCCGACGCGATACTCGTATCGTTTGGTCCCATAATGAAACCAATACGCGAAACAAAAAACAAAATAAAAAAACACCATATTTCCCTAAATGTACAACTACAGATACAATGTATCGGTTAAATATTCAATCAACACCTTGGTTGCAACAGCGTCCTAAATAGCAGATCTGGTGAGTAAGATATCTTGATATTCAGAATCGAATCTAAAGCTGCAAATCTCTTTGTATATCCGCAAACCGCAGAAATGTGTGTTAACATGGTATATGCATAAATACTGAATTGTTGAGAATGATTTGTGTGCCACACATCACAACCTCACCTGTTCGGTGAACATGAAAATGAGTAAAATGACCACAGCTTTCACGACGGCCATGTTCCTAGGCCTTAGGTGTGGGTGGTTGATATGTGAAGAGTGTGAACTTACCAGTAGAGGCGTCGCTTATAATATATCGCGTGTAATATAACACGTAAGCTCGCATAGATAACAGAACAAGGAAATCGAAATGAAGATTGAAGCAAAGTGTAGTATATCTATGCTGACTAATACATGTTTCTGAAAGCGTTGGCGCGTTCCCAACCTGACTTCCAGCCTTACGCTTTTCCCGTATTGAAGATTTTGTACTCGATGACGTTACCCGAATGACGATATATATATATATATATATATATATATATATATATATATATATATATATATATATATATATCGGGTGATTCAGTCCTCGTTGCTTATTCAGAACCTGGTGGTAGAGTACATTAAGTTATTTATGAGTGCAAAAGAAAATAGTGTAAACCCTATTCAAAATTTTGAAAAAAATAATTTGTGTCTTTGGTCATTTTTCGCAAGAAAGTTAGTCCAAATATTACATTAAATATTGTTTATATTGCTATTATTACCTACTTGTCTACTGTATATGAAAGGAGAATGAATAAATTATAATTTAAGAGTTATTTAAGATAGTTTGTCATATTTGCGTATGCAGTCAAAATTTCGCATTTTCCCCTTATGTAACAGGGGTTCTATGAGTGATCAAAATGGCGTGGCCGCAAGGTAGGCATCTGCGCCGCACGGCTACTGTGATTCGCACAACATTGCCGGGTTCTTCCTTTAATTCTGCCGTCACGTTTTTGATGCGCCGAAGAAGTCCATCATTATCCTCGACTTCAGTAGCATAAACGCTCTCTTTCATTGACCCCCAGCTCCAAAAGCGTTGGGTTGAACCTGAGTTATAAAATTCAGATACTAAACGCCTCTTAAGCGCTCGGGTAAGAAGTGAATACCGCGGATAAATTCATCTACGTACAATGCCAACCGACACATTTACAGAGAAACACTCTTGGTGAATTACACTACGGCGCAACGGTGCAACGTACGGACATCCTCGGATCTTACATGTAAATTATGCACATTCATTGGGTCACTTCTTGTAAAACACGCTTCATCTGAACAAAGAATGATTTTTCTGGTTTTCTTTGCATTTGCACCACTTGTAATTTCTGAAACATCGTCAGGAATATCCTCCATCTTAAAATGTGGAACATGCATCGGTTTAAATGTGTGTAAAAACAAAACAACCGCGTCTCACGCATTAATCGAATGAAAACGAAAATCTCGCGTGTGAAGTAACAAGCGAATATAATTGCAATCGCAGTTGGCGCTGCACTCCTCGTATTAAAAAGAGACGTACATCTTAATTACATTATTTTTCTTATAAGAATATGGTATTACGAAACGTATTGACCGACTCATGGCCGATAACGCAAATAACAGACTTGGTTGAGTATAAACCTCGCTATCGCCTCGGTGTACTAACTTCCACCACGTGTGTTATTTGGTGTCTATCGGCCTAATGACGTTAACAGCTACAGCGGACGGTGGCCTTAAATATGGCTTTTCTTTCCTCTGCTTGAACAAAGTCGATGTAACATAATCTACATCGTTTAGTTTTGTAAATAATTAACGTTAAGTTTTGGGCTAGGCGCTTGTGCTCGTGCAACATTAGCTCTGGCAAGTGAGCAAGAGGATTTACCTTCTCCCGCCACTTCTCTGGAAAATACAGTTGTTATTACTATCATACAACCCCCGGAAGAAGCGAGCATAAGAAAAACAGCGCGCGAGATCGCATCAAAGTCCGTCATCTGGCGAGCGATCCATGCGGAGAAATTACGACTTTTCCATTTCCAGCAGGTGCAGCAGTTAGCAGTATACATTTCGAACGTCGTTTTCAATTTTCTGGGCATTTCCTGCTTGGATTTAAATTCGATTCGTTTGTTACTTCACACGCGAGACTTTCATTTCCATTCGATTAATGCGTGAGACACGGTAGTTTTGTTTCTACACACATTTAAACAGATGCATGTTCCACATTTGAAGATAGAGGATATTCCTGACGATGTTTCGTAAATTACGAGTGGTGCAAATTCCAGCTTGTTATCGGTAAAAAACAAGATAAGGTATGAAAAAGAATGCCAATATTTTTAACAATGGCGCCAACGTTAGAATATTGACTAAGTAAATAGGGAGTTTTAGCGCCACGCGTTAGGTAGCGGCGTTATGCACTAATAGTCACGTGACAGACCTTGAAGTCATAACGTCTTACCTTAGGCCTAAGGTACGACCTTATACCTTCATAAATAGTGCGCGAATGTGGGAGTCTCTACGGGCACCTTACAAGCGGCAAAATGGCCGCCTAAAAACAGGAAAAGTTGTTTTCTTCAACTCTAATAAACCAATTCTCGTATGTAAGGCAGTTACAATTATTCCTTACCAACTCCACAAAGCTGGCAAAAATTAACGGGATATGTTGGAGAGGTGACAGGAAAGAAATTCGCGAAAAAGAAGTTCAAATCATATCTTCGGGATAGGTAATGTCTTATGATCATAACGAACGCTGTTTTAAGGTACTTCCTACATTTTCAAGAAAAGCAGATTCAAAATCTAAAACTCCATGCAAAATGTGTATTTGCTGGTCTGTTGACTCGTAACGTGTTTTAAATGTCTCACCACTAGCCTACACTCTTTCATATATTATGCAATTTCTCTGTTCAACGCTTGAAATGCTTCCTTTGTTATAATGCGTAACGCAATGTCGCAATTGCTAAAACTCTTATGAATGTTGTTCATTACGACCTTATGAAGGCGTTAGTCACGTGATCAATAGAGTATAAGGAAATCTCCTTACGCATGGCGCTAAAACTCCCTAATGAAATAGTTAGGCTGGCGTTTGCCAAAGAAAGATCTGACTCGTACGCTCCCACATCGTTGTGGGCGAAATTCTCATTGTCGAAACTATGTTTACCACTTAACAAAGATGTTGATATATCAAGGTGGGTAATTTACAAATTTCATTTTTACGTTTCAGTGAAGAAACTTTATACAGTGACATCTGAATTCATTTTACAGTCCGAAAACAATGCTAGTTGGAAACGGTAGTGATCTTCTATCGTTGAACCAACTTGGAAGGTAGCAGGAAATAAATTGAACAATCCGTATATAAAAGAATTAAAATATCTAAACAGTTATTCAGTAATCCGCACCGACGAGGTTGCAGAGAGTGAAGTACGTCGATGTCAGCGTCTTCGATATTTTTATGTACGACTAAATATTAGCAATAATTATGTGACGATCCAGACAGACTCGTCAAAAACAATAATTTAATGTATTCTAATACACCCAAAGCGACATATTTACAGACCCAAATGACTGAATTCTGAAGAGCAGTGATTATGTATTACACCAGAGCTGAGGAACTGTGAAGCAACAAACGGATCGGAGTAAATAAATAAAGATGGGAGATTTTAGGGTGGCGAAAATTTAGATGTACCTTCGATATCACAAATTATTACGGCAAAATCTCGCTTTTACACTGTTTGTACAACCAAGGCTGGACACTCAACTAACCCTGGTCTAGACCAAGCGACTTGTGTCATTGGTTTTGGCTCCAAGTTTCAGACACTTTCCTCTGCTCCCCAAAGATTTTCTTCCTCGTTATCTCAAAGGGGCGGTGCAATTTCTGAGGTGTAAATGACGTTGGCGACACTGCCTTGTTACTAGGGAGAGAGGGAAGAGGAAAGGTCACGAAAGTGAGTGGGAATAGAAGGAATTGATGATAGCGGGCGCGGGTACAGACCCGCCAATTGCATTGGCAAGGCATGTGTGTCGCTGACGAACCACACGGCAGTCGGTCACAGGGTGAAACTGTGGCATTTTTTCGACTTCTTTTCCGTGAAAATTAAGCCTAATTTATGGTATCTATTACTGTGATAAATTTTGCGTCAGAATAAACTGATAGGAGAAAATAAATTTGTGTCTAAAATTAAAATGTTAATGGCTGCAAAGCAAAGGACAAGAAATATTGTAGTATAATCATTTGCGAAAAACACACGACAATATATTACATAATTTAATATACAGACATTTCCTATGAAGGAAATTGAAAATCATGATCATATTTTTAAAACAATTTTAATTTTGACGTTATTACACCGTTATTATCGATATGCAAGCAATGCACAGATTTTGTTACACGTCACGAGATTGAAATCGCCCGCGCTTTTCTTTATAAGCTTGGTTTAACGAAAACAATGTTTTCGTTAATCAATTAAAAATCACTAGCGGATGTCTCAAGTACAGAATCTATGCAGTATCGTAATTATTAATACTGTTACCCTATTTTTAATAATGTTGGAATTTTATCGTGATTATCTGTGGAAAAGGTCTAGGAGACATATCAAATATTATTACAAAAATGTAATTGGCCTTATTTGCCATAGATTTTTGAAAAATTAACAATTTTCTATTATGTTACTGAAAAGAGTATCGCTATCCCTTCCCAGTGATATTAATTGCAATAATTGATATTGTTAATAAATGTTGATTAAATATTTGGTCTTAGACAAAGTGTTTTTGTAAAATATCAGCTCGAAAAACGCTTAAGTATTTGAAAAAATGATTAAGTTTTTGCGTGATTTGCGCTTGAAATTAATGTAATTTCTAAAAAAATGTAATTTCTATGTTTCGTAAATAGTTATTTAAACGTAAGTGAACGTACAAACCATCTATCAATTAATCTACTGGACAGTAGTGAACACGTATGTAGACAAACGTTAACACATATTAGAACTACCAAAACGCTACATTAATCACTAATTAAACAAAAACGCTTATATATAAGCAGAAAGTCTCTGTAATAAGTTACTTGTGTAAATTTAGTGTTATTTGTGTAAATTCAAAACATTTAATAAATGTTGTTCAACAACAGATTGTAAACTGTGCAGATGTGAAGTAATAATAAAAAGGAAACCATTTAATTCTTGTTTAGATATTTTATTACT